TATTTTAATTCTACTGAATTATTACTGAAAATAATTTGACAACCGTAACGTTAGAACGGTTAATAACGGTGCTTTTTTGGAACTAGGGAGCATAAGATCTGGGCCGAGTCAGGGGTGGCTGGACCCCGGCGCTTTTCGCGCGTATGTGCACGCGCGAATTTTTTGAGAGCTATCTTCATCCGCATTGGTTGGCACGCACAAATTGACATGTTTATGTTATCCAAATATCCAACTGTTATTGGGAGTTAGTGTGCAACCAGAAGCATCTTAGCACATGTATAAATAAGGAAACGCATGGTGCTTTATCGTGAGGCTACTTTCGCCGGAGTCACGGTTAGTTGTCGTATAAATAATGCCCATTATAATGAATGAATACGGCATGGATTTTATGGAAACCTTAAATTATTTCTTGAGAAGCCTCGCTTTGGTCGACTCTTAAGCAGACATCTGCATACTTCAGTTGAAGGATGGTTAACCATCCACCGACTAACAGTTGTTAGTTAGCAGTGGCCACTGCATTTTCTCTTTCACGGAAATAAACAAACATCAACAAAAGACCTTCTGAACAGTTGAATGTATACAGGCCATCTTATTATGAAATATTCCGGTAGGCTTATATGTGTGTTCAGTGACGAACAGACGATCAAGCCTTAAAATCTATTTAATCTGTGCCATCGTCTCTGTCCAGTCTTCTAGATGTTACGCAACTTATCCGCAGTTTTGAGTTAGTAGGGACTTTTTTGCAGCCTTAGACGATGCATTTCCAAGGCCTTTCTTACCCGATTTTCCTATTTCGTCGCTTGGCTCTTTCGAAAGTTCGGTTTAACCCTTGGTTTTTCCGTATTTCTACACAGTCGTCTTCTTTGATACTTGCTACCACATGGCGTCAACCCTGTCATTCCTCACGGATTACGTTTCATCATCGGCCGTTCGTCGACACTGGATGTTGGTGATTCTCCTCTTTTCACTGTTGAATTTGGATGTCCGCAGTAACTGTGCCGCTCAAGCCGTGCCGGTATTACGCATGTACCCTATGCCCGAAAATGGTCTGGTCAGTCCGTCTGTCCGGTCATCATCTCCTTTTCAACTTCTGCCAATCAGTAATTTTACCCCAACTGAGAATCCTCTAGTCAGTATCTCCCTGCCCTCAGTAAGTCCATAAGATTTCCACTGCATACCATAGTAATAAAAGCACGAGATTTTGCACAAGAGAATTTGGATTTCATTCTAACTTCTGACTTTAATTTATTCACTTATTGCAACCGATCGGCTTAAATGTAAATAAATAAATAATTTTTTTA